ATCTAGAAGTGTTGTAATGCAAAAATATTTTGCAAAGACCTCATGGCCTAATTTTATTTTCTCAAGACTTCTGCAATTATTTATTACTGATTGTTAATACACAATGTAAAGTAAAAACAAATACCCAGTTTGTACAAACCTTTTACTGTATATCAAGCCCATAATATGTCTTCTGTCAATCAGGTGTTTTTCTTAGGAATCACAAATCATTGTCTTGTCATTCTAGTTGAGCTGTCCATAAGAACGTCAGCTCTGATATCTGTCAACTGTGTGATATTGTGATAAAATGTGAATGTTATAGATTCAATTTTTTAGTGGTTTGACAGTATATGCCATAAATGAGAACCTTGGGACCACCATGATTGTATACAATAAAAACAGGAGATTCCTAGTGCATTATTGCTGCACAAATAAGCCATGGACATGCTAAACAGAGAATGGCAATGTCAATTTAAGAGAATACTTTACAATATGTACACAAGCAATCCACATTTCTCCATTCGACTGAAAGGGGAAGGGGGGGGGTCACCAATAGTGTATGCTTATAGAAATATGTGGAAATAGCTAACAGCCGTGGCAAAATGCTTCTTGTTTTTAGTACTAGGTTCTTTGCATATTATGGCCTCTATAGCAGCAAATAACTCTTACGTGAGGTCCTAAATAACAGAAACGACCTGATGGAAAGTCTACCCCCATCCACCTAAAATTGAGAAATCCATTTTTTTTTAGTGCAGTTACTTCCTAATTTCATCACAGCCAAACACATTTGTCCATCAAGTAAAACAAATGCATATTTTTAACAGGTATTAACCACTAGGTAAGGTATATATCATTTAAATTATTTTTATTCAATCCAGGTAAATGTGCCCTGCAAACTTTTTGCAGTCAGAGATCAGCAAAGACTGATAATCATATTCATATTCAGAGAGGAAATTTACTTTAATGTGGCCAGTACTTTTTTTTTTTTTTTTTTGCTCATATATATTTATTGTAAAGATGTCCATTTTTTTTTTTTTTAGCACTAACTTTATGGGAACCACCTAAAATGTTCCCTGTTAAGAACAGTGATATAATCTGTGTAATCTGAATACTTAGAGGTTTATCAGGTCCAAGAAAGTGTTTAATGGAAATGTAGAGATTCTGTGTATGGATTGTGTAGGCTTCTGAATCTTGGTCACTCAGTATTCAGCTAAATATTTAATACTACAAGATGGCTTTTTTTCCAGCAAATATTTTTCCTTTGGGTTAGTCCTTATCACTGTAACATAATAATCTAAATAGCCCTGTGCTTACTTTTTGAGCAGAATAACATTATTTACATTATTTCCACATGAGCCCTGCACTTTCATTTCCAGGCTTTCAGAGGGGGATATAGCTTGAGTATTTATAATGTAGAATAGCAAGAGGTCATCATGGCCAAAACAGTGATTACAGACTTGATTAGCATCCAAGACAAATGGTGTACCCCAAGGCAGCCCCAAAGCTGTGATCACAACTGGCTCCAAAGCTTGCCAAGCAGCCAGATGCCTTTATTGGAAAGCTCTTTGGTGCAGTTTAGCACCTGAGTCCTGAGCAAGAGAAAAAGTCTGACCTCGCACTCCCACGTAAAGGCAGACCATTGCTGCAGAATGCTGCATCAATATATGATAAAGAATCTGTCCATGTTATTATTATCTTCTCCAACTTGCTCACCACACTTGTAAAAATATATTCCGGGCCTTCCAAATTTCCTCTAACATGGCACAAAGCAAAACACACAAACATCTTTTTGTTTGAAATAAAATGTTGTCCAATCTAATTGAAAATGTATTTGTTTTCTTTTTGACTCATGTTTTATTGAAAAATTCCAGTCCAAATAATAAGGGAATAGTAGTAATAATATTTACCATCACATTATATATTTACACAGGGTGAAGTTAAACAAAAAGGCAGCCGTTCCATCTGCACTGACCTTTTTCCTGACCAAGTGTTCTGTGTTAGCACTTTAGTGGCAATTGAATCAAAACATATTTTAAGATCTTTTCCTTAAAGGTATAGTTATATTAACTGGGATATTAAGAGACAGTTGCACCATGTTGTTATCAGTAGATATAAGAAATATATGAATTTAAGGGTTGCTTTTTTGCTGGCTGTATTTTCTCATATTAACAAGATTTAAGGCATTAATATGGTGTGTGTGTGTGTATATGTGTGTGTGTGTGCGCGTATAAACTCCTTTAAGATTCATTACATTGATGCAGGATTGAGTATGTGAACGATGTATATTGAAGACAGTTGTTAAAACAAACTGATGTTTCATCTGACAACAGCAATTTTTATCTGTGTTCATCAGCTTTGCTATTGTCCGGGTTCTATTGTTAAGTGAACATTGGCTTAAAATTAGAAGTTGTAAAGTCGTTGCAAAATTGTAGTGTGGTTATCTTCAATGCAGAAAGATTTGTAGAGCATATCATTTTATTTATATATATTCTTTTAAAAGTATATTCCATCCAAATTTCATAATCAGCCTTTGGAATGCATATGAGTGAGGACAGCCTAAATATCTCAATCTGCTGTTTTTTTATTTAAGCCCAACTCTATGATAAAATAAAACCCCTCCCCTCACTGATCACTGGGCTGGAAAAAATAATAATTTTAATTTACCACGGTCAAGTGATTATCCAGGGCTGGGTCCTTCTTCTCTCTGTTTCCTTCCTACTGGGGTCCTTCTTCTGAGTGTCCATGTCACTGCTTGCATGACGTGGACAATTCCCATTGGCTGTCCACCAGAGGGGTCCTCTCAGGATCCAGTGGACTACTGACATTGGCCCAAGAGCAGTCAAGATTGGCTGGTGAAGGTTACTGTGTAGCACTGGATTAGCAGCCGTGTTGGCGTAAAAGGTGTCAGCAAGGGACCTGGATGTGGCAAATGTAGGTATGTAGGTATTAGTATAGTTTGCTTCGCTAGGTAAGAAAAAAGAAATACCTGCTAGGATACTTATGTGGGTGGGGCAGATGGTAGGAAATAGTTTTTGACTGCATTTGAGCTTTAAACTTCTCAGTTGCTGAAAATCTCCTTGTTACAGGTACTGTGGTGCTTAGTGAAGCGCATCACCTCTGCAGTGGGGAGCATTCCAGATTCTGTCCACTAGTGCTCAGTCCATAGTGGGTCAGGGGATGGCATCCCCATTCCCCCCACCCCCCGCTTCTCCAGCACCACCCATGCTCCTCTTAGGGGATGGTCATTTGACTGGAAATACCCTTAGGCAACAGTTGATTGTTAAGTCAAGTCAGTCAACACTGTCAGGGCTAGGGGATGTTCCAGTTGTCTCCAAGGAGCCTCAGACTCTACTAGATATGATAGGATATTTCAACATGCAAATGATACTGGGGGTCTATGTACACAAATGTCTTAATGGCAGTCATCTGATGACTATAGACATCATCTAATGATTATAGGTGTCTTACAAGATCGCAGTAACAGAAAAGTACATACAGACGATTGGCATGAGGAAAACATATCTTAATCTGCACTTTGCCCTTTTTTCCTAAACATAATTTCTTCAAATGCTTATAGTGATTTTTTTGTGTATCTGAATGACTCTATTGTAATGAAATTCTATGTAGCTGGTATAGTCTTTTCTATTGTTTTGTCTTGTGTGACAGTTTCAATAGCACATTAACAACTGCTGCTAGTCTGACTGACAGTATGTATGGTTACAACTTTCCCTCTGTTCAGTTTTAACTCTTCTATTTTACTTTTGAATGTCACTTCAATTCTTTTCTTTTAGGAAGGATTTCATTATTCTTCCTAGGCTAGGATTAGGCTTCTGGGCATAAATTTCAAGATGTGAAAGCTGTAAATCTGTTGATTTCAGAAATTGCCTATTAAGTTGTTAATTGTGGTGCTTTTTAATAGACATATTAAAGCATATTAATCTTATAAAGAATCTTCTGTATTATTGCTTAGAGGACTATTTGCAAAGTCTGGCATACTTGAAGCCAAGTTATGGCTTTAAGAGAATCTGTCAGTTTAAAACATCTATACCCTGCACACTCTCTCTAGTTTGCTGTGTAATCTGGACAAAGAAATAAGGTTTTCTAAGCCTGCCCACACAGATATGCTTCCCAAAACACCATATGCAAGCTACACAAGTGAGCTAATTTTTGGTCAGTCAGTATGTAAAAACAGGGTGAGGCAGAATTCACACTTAAAAGGGTTCCCAGCAGTATAATGCTGTCATCTTGCACAGAAAAACCACAGCAGGCACAAAAAATTGTCATACAGATTAATCTAGTCCACTCATAACTCTGTGTTGCAGTGCCATGTGTTGTAGAAAATGCAGCCTGGATTCGTTTTTCAGTATCAACATGTGTTTTAGGCAACAACAACTAAGTGTAATGAAAAAATACCCATGTATTGTATTTACCATATTTGAATGTGTATTGCTCCGCCAAAGCAAGTATGAAAACAGCGGATCCCAGCCTGACTTCTTAGAGCATGGGCATACACAACTGGGCAATATAGTCATTCATGTCTATATATATATATAACTTTCAAAAAAGACATATGAACATTAAACGGACTGCAGCTTGGATAACTTCCACGTTATACCCAGTTAAAAGGTATAGTGATATTAAACTAACAGACTTACTTTTTAAAATCTAATATGGCTCTATAGGCAGCATGCACTGCACATATTTGTGTGATCTCTGTGACAGCAAACAGCAGGGAAGTTAACTTTGGTAAAGTTATTCCTAAAGGTAAATACATTTACAGTCCTGAGGCAAAATGTGTAGAACACTGAACTAACTTGAACAGTGTTTGATCACAGGCATCGAGGGAACCTGTGATGAGAGCTGAAAGAATTGTGGCTCAAGACCTGTTCAATTAAATATTGTGATAAAAGTACATGTTCCAGCCTTTCTTGTTAAATAATCTCTTTGAGTAATGCTGAATTATCTGCATAATAAGTGACAGTCCATACTAATGTTTTCTATTCACTATCATTTCTTTACAGCCCAACAGCAGCGGGCAAGGCGTTGGGAAGGTGCCTGGCCACTTCACTCAAGTGTTGGCCCCATCGCCCCATCATGGTGCAGTTAGACCTGTGACACTAACCATGACTGACACAAAACCTATCACTACATCCACTGAAGGTGAGGTTAAATTACTAACAAGGAAATGTTACAAGCCATTTACGAAAATGTGACCTTTTAAACAGCACTGACTTCTAAACCTGGAAAAAGATTTCCACTTTGGCAAAACATTCCTTTATTGTCATCTTAATGCAGGGCTCTCTCTTTTGCATACATCATTTTTACCTTGTCTTATGGCCTGTAGCTACTTCCAGTGGGTTTCACTTTTCCTGATATATTGGGGTTGATTTACTAAACTCAAATAAGCTGTAGTTCACTTTGTAAGGGAATCTGCACTTTGCTGGGGGAGTTTCCGTTTACCTTATTGAATGCGGTCAAATTTCACTTTGCCAAGAAAAGCCAATTATGTGCATGGAAACTAAAAAAAAATTATTTTTGCTTGCACATGATTGGATGATGGAAGTCAGCAGAGCTTCACTTCATTCACTAAGCTAAGTAGAACTCTCTGTGCAAAGTGCAAATTCCTTTGCAAACTGAACAGTTTATCTGTCTTTAGTAAATGAACCCCATTGAGTCTTCAGAATAGAGACGAAAAGCAAATGTCTCCCTTAAGACTCTCAATAACCAGTAGCTGAGAAACCAATGGGACATTCTACTAAGTGTTTTAAAGTAACACCTTTAAATGAACATTGTTAATTTAAGTTGTTGTTAAGCCCTAAGCTAATCATTGGCATGACTACAAATTATTGTCTGTTGCAGCAAAATCTGAGCATGATTCTTCTAATCCCACTGAAAAGTGCTAAATTCTATATGCCACCCTAACCATGAGGGTGACTATACCCTTGTTTGTTACAATTGTATAAAGAAATGACTTGTAGGTATGTGCTAAAGAGTGTTAAATAAGTGCTTCTTGCTTTTGGATGTTATCATTGCACACAATTAGACAGACCCTTTTGTATGGGAAAAGTATTTCACTGTGCATACACTGAGGACACCTGTTAGCTGAGTTGGACAGAATAATGCAAGAGGTCCTGGCTTTTGGCAGGCATCTCACCTCCTGTCATTCTCAATGTGACATCTGTCGATCTATGGCCAGCCTAACCTCACATTATTGACAGATCCTGTATAAACATACACATATCATCAGGGGCAGCCAAATGAACCAGATGAATTCAGGAGTTGATCAGCTCAGTGTGGAATGCAAAAGGCAGTTTTAAGGAGCTTGGGAATATGTGCTTACATTGACTACAAGACTAAAAAATAGATTCAATCTGCACTTTTTAGGCGTATTGGCCATCTGGCACCTGTGGGGGGTTTTCAGCTCCACATAACATATCTGTAAATGTAGCTGCATCATGTAGACTGTAGTGAGTTGGAATATTATATTGTGCTTTTAGTAACATGTGCATACTTTTACAACTATTATGTAAGTTGTAATTTGTAATGCTATATTAATATGTTAGTTACGTGTTTCATCCATCCAGTCTCAGATACAATGTACACAATGATATCATATTTATGCAAATTACATATTATATTGTGACTATATCCAATAATGGCAGGGGTAGTTTACACATGTATGCAGCATTCTATCCAGATTCCTAGCACTTCTCTTTGCTTCTTCATAGTCATTTGCACAAAAGTTTACTTTATACTTTTCTTACCATTGCATTAGGTGGTGGCAATAGGATCAGAAAATGCTGCTGGTAGCTCATACCTGGTCAGCCATAGAATAAGGCTGCATGCCTTAGCTGTAGTAGCTCAGACTTTTCCAGCTAAGACTCCAGCTGCAGGTTTTAAGGATTCAATAGAAGTGTGAAGATATTTGCCCACTTTGGCCTGGAATAGTTGGAATGGGACACTGTTGTATATCTGTGGGCCCTCTGATATGACAAGGGGTGATCTATCGCCGCTGATTAAACTCTGAGAAAGACTTGATCATGTGGCTGGGTTTTCCTAACCAATTACTTTATTCACCATGACTTGAACCCAGCACCATAGACCAATATAAGCACACATATGAATGTCTGTTTCATTCTAGAATTTTTTTGATCATCCAGTGTCTATAGATATCTTAATTCCGAGGTAACATTGTTACCAATCCTTCTCCATATATAATATGAATAGGCGAACTTAAATATGAAAGCCATGTTATTTGCCCGGTGTGCAGCCCTAAACAAATACTTAGGGGTCTATTCACAAAGCTGCCGAGGGCAGCCGAGTGAATGACCGATCAGAAGTGAAGTGAGCCGAACACTGTTCGGCTATTAACTTCAGGCTGGTACGGCTGATTTCAGCCGTACATCGGCTTGCTTCAAGATCCACTAATGACTCACTTTACTCACCATCACTGATGTTAATGATCCCAGTTTGTAAATATAGTTTGTTTTAGTGTGTGTGTGTGTTTTAAAGGCTCCTTTTTGAGGTACACGAGCTTAGAAATGCATTCATCATGAACCATGCTGCCCAAAATATGAAAGGGTAAAAAGGAGATTAGCTAATCTCTTCTAATTGATGATTCCTTGAGGATGGAAAATGGTAAAAGGCATGTTAAATGCAAGTATGACAAATGCTTGATTACATGGATTTAATATGATCCTTGTAACATTACTTTGATAATAAAACCCTGTAACTGTGTGAAGAATGCCAATTAAATCAGTATCATGCATTTGTATTTTTTTATCTAATAAAATGTAAAGTCTGATTTAATTTAAAGATTACACTAAAAATTGCAATAGTAGAACAGAAACCTTTATAAAAGTAGGCAACAGAAACATGCATAATAGTAAAATTGCTAAATTATTGAATAATTATTTGATATTTAACTTTTGGATAGATGGAAGCAGGTTGAATCATCAACGACTTCTGATGCCTCACAGGAAATCCAGTAACAATATTTCTGTGTCATTCCCTTTTTATTAAATCCAGTATGTGAGTCAGCATTCTAGTGTACACCCTAAATTGAAATGTCAGCTCTAGGTGGACTGAATCTTTCAACTTTCAATTTTTCAAATACAAAGTCGTGGCAGTGTACAATTTATTGGTTTCTCATTATTTTTGATTTTGGGGTCTAGTTATATTTGCATTGTCTCTTTTCTTCACAGCCTACACAGCCTCTGGCACATCACAAGCCAATCGATATGTGGGACTAAGCCCAAGAGATCCAGCCTTCCTACACCAGCAACAGGTGGGCTTTTTTTATATCAGGTGTAATGATTCTGAGATGCCTGGGATAGTGCCATAGAAGCCTGCATGCTGCCACTCATAGCTTGGATTAAAATAAGATCCCACTGTTCTCTGATCATGACTGGGCACGCCAAATCTCAACACATTTAATTGAAATGTGGCATCATGAAAAAAAGTTTCCCTTAGGAAAACTAACAAGCTTACATGATTGGTTTAATTGTAAGCAAAATTCACACAGAAAGCTTTCATTCTTGATGAATACTTTCTTTTTACAAAACCACACAACAAAGCGTAATTCATAAAATGTGCCCAAAATGCATTAGAAGGAGTAGTAGCTGATTATTAGTTTTATTTATTATTACACATTACACATGTGGGCAAACCTTACAAACAGAGATACTATATGAGGTTATTTCAAACTGGCTGTAACAGCTGTTCATCTTAGGAAATGTTTTTACATACTTGTGTGGCAGGAGGTGAACTGTACTTAAACTATACAACCCATTTTATTTTAAAGGGAACTGCGTGCTCTCTGTTTTCTTTGCTGTTATAAGTTATCTTTCCTTTCCTTGATTTACATTACAAGTTGTGACGGTAAACTTCCAGGATGGTATCACATGGCGGAAGGTCATAAGTGAGCATGCAATTCCACTAAATGATGTGTTTCAGTAGAGAAAGGAATAGCTTTAAAGCGTTTCTGAAATGAAACAGCTACACACTGCAGATATAAAATGTATTTCCTATTATATTTGGAGTTAGAGAGATCTAAAAGGTTTCTTTTACACAGCCAGATTTAAATGCCAGTTGGAATATGGAAGTTTAAAACTATTTGGTGACTGTATGCAATAATCATTTCAATTGAACCAATAGTTTTTGTACCCAGTAACATAGCCATGGGCACCAATAACCTTTTTTTCCATTCACTCTATGATTGATATCACTTATTTACCAATGCTATGTGTTTTATATAGTCTCGGATATAAATTTTCATGTGGATGCCGGAACAGATGATTTTGGTATATTTACCTATTAAAGGAAAACTCCTGGGCATATTAAATTTTAACCCTTGCATTGGGGCTACCCCAGCACTGCAAGGGTTAAATGCTTGTTTTGTCTAGGAGCTAAAATAACAAAGATATACTCACCCGAACCTCGAGCCTGCCTGGCTGCTAGACCGGTCCCTGTGGCCTCGCCCTCCCTCTGCTCGGGCGATGAAAGAGCTAAAATAACAAAGATATACTCACCCGAACCTTGAGCCTGCCTGGCTGCTGGACCGGTCCCTGTGGCCTCGCTCTCCCTCTGCGTCCTCACATCCATCCAATACAGTGTACTTATGACTCATGGGTTCTTAGAGTGCTGGGGGGGTGAGGCTTCATGGACCGGCCTAACAGCCAGGCAGGCTCAAGGTTAGTATATCTTTTATATTTTAGCTTCCTAGACAAAATGAGCACCTAACCCTTGCAGGGTAAGGGTTGCTCCACTGCAAGAGTTAAAATTTCATACGCCTGGTGTTCTTCTTTATGCATTTTTTTAAACAGTCTTGTAAATAAAAAACAACTTAATGAGATTTCAAGGTTACAACAGTAAGGTACACGTTCTATTCTTCAAAACCTTTTTTCATGTACAACCAGGTTCTAGATTCTAGACCCTGGATGTGCACAGGGCCTCAACTTTAAATTCTTGAGGCTGAACTGCCAACTGATGCTCTAGCATTTCCTTTGAATGACAATTGACAGGAATAATCTTGACTAGAAGTTATGGGCGTCTGTACAACCTGGGCCTAGGATTCAATGGCCTTCACACAAGCACTGGAATTCTGCATTTAGCATTGTTGTTACTAGGGATGCACCGATACCAGTTGCTGGGTATAGAGCATGAGTGCCGATATTGATCTTTCGGTACTCGCCGATACCGATTACCAATACTGGTACTTCAGGTAGCATGGAGACGGCTTCCCGAGGAATCAGGAAGCCGGCCAACCTGTCATTACCTGCGCCTGGCTTCTTGATTGCCCAGGTAGCCGGTTCCATGCTCCTTGGCCTGCTCAATGTTGATTGGCTGATCATCATGGAGCCAGCTTTCCAGCCAATCAGGAAGCTGGGAGGCGGGTCACTACCCGCTGCCCGATTTCCTGATTGGCCTGGAAATCAGCTCCATGCAGTTTGGCCGGCTTAATGCTGATTGGCTAAGAAGCCGGCTTCCCAGCCAATCAGCAATGATCCAGCTTTATGGCCATCAGGAAGCCAGGAGGCGGGTCATCACCCGCTGCCCGACTTTCTCATTGGCCGGGAAGCCGGCTCCGTGTAGTTTGGCTTGCTCGTTGCTGATTGGTTTTCCGGCCAATTAGCATTGAGCCAACCAAACAGCATGGACCTGGCTTCCTGGCCAATCAAGAAGCCAGACCGCAAGTCATTACCCGTGGCCCGGCTTCCTTATTCACTGGGAAGCCGGCTCCATGTTCCCTCGCGGCACTGCCGGTCAGAGGAAATCTCCCTCTGATCGAAAATTCCGGTATCGGAATAAGTATCGGAGCATTTGGGTGAGTATGAGTACTCGCCCAAATACTCAGTATCGGCTACTAGTATCGGTATCAGTGCATCCCTAGTTGTTACCTTAGGTACTTTTTAGGGTAGTCAGTTTAACTTTTTATCAGCGTCTGCCCTGCTCATGAAGCTCTTAATAAAACTAGCTGTATGATGGCCACCTACAGTCTGATACTGTAGTATTGTACTACAATACTGTACTGTATTGACATCTACATACAAAACATTTGTTTAGCTAATTGGACAGTGATAGTTTATAACAATGCTAGGGTTCTTGAGGAGTTGCAGCAACTTGTCATTACACATATTAACCACCATACTATCATTGTAACAAATTATACATTTACATTTTTTAAAACATGAAATAAGGTATTTTAAGCAGTAATGGCCCCTTAACCACTTTGAAGGCACTGCAAAAACCGCTTTCAATCACAGTGCTGTTTTAAAACCCACACTATCTAGAAGTTGGTGCCGCTGCTGAGTAATATGCACGCTATTGACTTCTGATCTTGCTGCAGAACATGCTGTAAAAGTTCCCTGTAGCACAATATAACTAAATTGCTTGGGGATGGCATCTCATCCCATAGTTATGTTAAAGACCAGGAAGAGAGAGGTATCCCCACCTACTTTCTGTTACATAGTTTAGTGTAAACAGGGCCAACATTAGGAGGGGAAGGGAGGTGATGTGCAGGAAGTAGGCGGAGCCTTATATTAGAGAGAAGCCCTGGGAAAAATCAAGGCTATTGGCCAGCATGTGCAAATCCACCTACATCCTCACAAGTGACAGCGTCTTGATCCTCTGATAGCTCTTAGGTAGGTATGAGATATGAGGTCCATATGGGCTGAGTGTATAAAGGTTCATGGTAAGGGTTGGCAGAGCGTATTGGTATTGCATGGTGTGGTGTTCTCTTCAAATGCTGTTCTGTATGTGACATACTCAAGACAGTTCTGTACAATGTGCAGTACATTATTTATACCACTGGGAATTCTGCATTTCACCCTATTCAAGAAGGGGCATGTGTTTTGCTAATTTGGCAAATTTAATGAATACTAGTACACATGTCAAGCACAATATTATTTTCACCCGTGTACATTGTGATGTTATATCAAATTGTAAACAAAGTTTGACTAAGAGCTTTACCTCACCACTACCTTTTGGAAAATCACACTTATACAGTACATGTGCCTAGAAGACAATAGCTCAATGCAATAAACTTAAATGTACATATTATTTGCCGTAGTGCTTATTATTTTCAACAATGTGACTGCTATACTTTTAGCTGCCTTTGCTGAAAATAATGGTGATTATTACAGATAAGGAATGTAATAGCTTAGTTCATTGAGCCTGCTGTTGGTCCTGCTTTAGGATGCATATTTGGAGTTGTGCTAACTACCTAAAAGTAGCTTTGGGAAAAATGATTGGAAATTAGCATTCAACAAAACAGGATGTTGACTCAGCACTCCCACCAAATTTAGAAGAGTCTATACAGCTCACAAATGGCACTTGGTATATAAAGCAGTTGTTGCTGTTGCACAATGTGTACTTCCCTCAAAGTATTGCTGAAGCAAAGCAGCATTTTATTAATCCCTGATAAGTTTTATATCCCCTTTAAGTGATCTGAACTGGCTGACTGCTGGTTTCGTGGTAATTTCTAGCTTGAACAAGAAATCCTGGAACTTTAAAAATTAACCCTTGCAGTGCGGCTACCCCTGCACTGCAAGGGTTAACTGCTTGTCTTGGTCTAGGGGGCAAAAAAACCCACAAATATATACTCACCTGATCCTCGATACCACTTGGCTGCTAGACCTTTCTCCGCAGCCTCTTCTCTTCCAGGCTCCGGCGCTCTAAGGACCCGTGACATCATCACATCTAATGCAGCTTCATTAGATGTGAGGACGCCGAGGGACATTCCACTGCCAGAGCAGAGGGTGAGAGGTGAGTACTCACAGCAGCAGGACTGATTTATCTGGTAAGTATATTCTCTTTATTTTAGGCCCTAGACCAAAACAAGCACCCACGGAGAGGATAGCCGCACTGCACAGGTTAATTTTCCTGGAGTTCTTTAATTTAGTACAGAACAGTTTCTAGCTTCAACATAGTTACAGAGAATACCAAAATATTTCTGTCATCCCATGTGTATGGACATTCTGAGTTATAATCTTCAAGAAGTCTTACTTTTTCCTGAATCATTAATGCAATTGAAACGCTGTATAAGTTTTGCAGTGCTAACTAATATCAGTAGCACCGTAGGTGCTCATTATTTACGACTGAATGATTCTCTTCTGCATGGTAATAGTATACCTCATAAGGGGATACGTCTGGCTAAGTAAACATTTACTGTTACAAATATGAAGCTTTACACTCTGATCTTGACAAGACTTGTTGAATTACTTTAGTTCTATATGTGAATAACATCATTGGTGGAAGGCTCTGTGTTGTTTACATGTCAAGGCTTTA